TGGGGGTCTAAGAAGGGTTTGCAAGGGGGGGGTCTAAGAAGGGTTTGCAAGGGGGGTCTAAGAAAGGTTTGCAAGGGGGATCTAAGAAGGATTTGCAAGGGGGGGATCTAAGAAGGATTTTCAAGGTGGAACCAAGAAGGATTTGTACTGTTAAAAATGGGATGAACACTGTTCAGTGTACAGGATTCAATCTAGTGGACGTGGATTTTGTAGTTTTTAAAACAGGAAAATTTATCTATGGGGTCACTTTCCCCTTTACCCTCCCCTCCTGATGATTTACTGAATGTACAGTGCATTTCTAAATCGACTCTTTTTGATCAAATTATAAATGTAATTTTGTTCAGAAGAGTTTTCTGATTATGGGAAACCTAGTTTCTATTCGGAGTCGGAGTCTAGTGTAGAGAATAGTGTGGAGAGGCCAAGAACCCCATTCGTTGATGTTATCAGGTTAGTTTAGGAGAAAATACATAGATCACTGCAAACTAGACAACATCACTGGTCCAACTTTGTGACCTCGTAACTTCTGTGGTTTTGATGTTACGCCGAATTATATAAAAAGCTAATTTATCTGATTAAATATTAGAAATTCAAAACAATTTTGTTCTTCACGATAGCTCTTCAATAAGAGGAGTTATGGTAGAAAACATTTAAGATTTAAAGTTTACGTTTAATTTACTTTTTTTGACGTGAGATGGTGCTTGTTTAGAAAAATATACATGAATGGTGATCTTACAGATAATAAAACTATTCTTTTTTCAGAGAGTTCTTGGAAAAAAACATTTCAAGAAGTAATGAAAAATATATTCCGTTGAGTACTCAGAGTACACATATTGAGTACAAGCAACCAGTACTGTACTCCCCTGCTGTTCAGTACAAACCAGCTGTACCCTTGGTGCCTACTGACCGTACACTGTACACTTTAAAAACTACCCAAGATACTAGAACGTTCTTTAAGACGCGTTCACGGAGACCACAAATCAAAACTACGGTACAACAAACAACAATACTGAACACCACTCCTGTGTACATTGAAAAGCAGTACAGTACAGCTAGACCAGTAAGAAAGTACATTGAGGTTCCATCTAAACAACAGTTAGGAACCCGAAACCAAAAAACTTTTGATAGAGAAAGTAGATCAGGTATTATTATCATCATTGTTATTATCAATATTCTAATGCATGTTGTATTATTACTATAATTATTACTATTATTGTTATTATTATTTATTATTATTACTTTTACCGTTATTATTATTATCACCAGGCCTGTGGAGGGTAGAGGAAGACTATGATGATAAAAATGATGAATTTGGAATAACTCATCAACAAATAGAAAACACAACTAGGTAAACAAATAGACAAAAACCCCGACAAACAAACACACAAAGACACAGACAATTAAGAGAAACATGAAAGACATAATCAAAAATAAGTAAAAGAAAGAAAAAGAAGTATTCAACAGCAAAGCGTCACTAAACTAATAATTTAACAATCAAACTTGAAGAAACTTTTATGATATATAAACGCCAATTCCTGTCAGACACCCCCCCCCCCTCTTCAACAAAACAAAGATAAACAGGACATGGAATAGCTAACAAAAACAGTTGCAGCAAAGGTAATCTTGATATCTGAAATTCATATAAATCATAGAACGGTTCGATTTAGAAAAATAAATGGAGCTGAGATAGAAAGATACAAGGATTACGTGGATATACTTTATATGGCGGGAAATTAAGTGCCAAGAAACCGCGCAAGTGTACACTAGCACAGAGTGTACAGTGTACACTGTAACCTCAAGTCTCCAGGCACTCAATCTTCAGCTATACAAATGAGGGTCCCGTTGCCGGTACAAAGGTTTCAAGGGTACCGTTGTGAATCGGGCAGTCCCTTTAACGTAAAATGTTCAGATCTGCCGGAGAAAGAGCATTCGAAGAAATCCGTCATCTGATCCAACTGGAGGAGCAGGATCCTGATCTTAAACCTCTTCAGCTTACCCTCCTCCTCTCATCCGTCCTTGCAGGAACCCTTCTCCTTGTACTCATAGGTAGGGATGGGTCAAGGTTGATAACAAGGTTTGATACTTCAGATGCGCTCCAATATAGGTAAAGACGACCGGTATAGCAATGGGCACACATTTTGCGTCTCACTAAATATAAACAAACTCAAAAAATGGAAAACTTGCAATTTTTAGCTTTAAACTTGTTAGCACAATCAATATTTGTTAAATGTGATGATTGTTAGTTAAGTATCAGTGATGTCATATGAGGATTTAAAGTCTCCATTTCAATAAAGACGACATTTACCTAATATGGAGCCCATCCAGAGTATTTAACCTTATATACAACCTAGTGGAATGGGTAGAGATGTACATTCAGTTGGAAAGATTTTGGCTTGTTTTTTGCATTCACTTTCTCTTAGGGGCAAAACTTGGCATTAATTGTCTGTTCATCATTTTATCTCTGACAGAAAATAAATGCAAAAAATTACCCCAAAATGATTAAAAAACTATGTAAAAGCGATGAAAATGCGAACATTTTGTAACGATCAATTTGGGAAAGTTTCGAGATTATTTTTTGGGTAAAGATATTACAAAGTTGAATTAAAGCAAACTTAAAAATAATACAGTAATAAAATAATATTGTTAAAAACTATTCCTAAACGATTAAAAACTTTAGGGATGAACATCGTTTTCAGGTCCGGTTTCAGGTCCGTTTGCAGGTCCGTTTTCAGGTCTGGTCTTATGTCTGTTTGCAGGTCCGTATTCAGGTCTGTTTTCAGGTCCGTTTTCAGGTCTGTTTTCAGGTCCGTATTCAGGTCTGTTTTTAGGTTGGTTTTCGGCTTTATAGTTAATCTAAACAAATTTGAGATTATTAACAAAAAGTAAAATCTGGTTAAATTAAGACTAAAAGATTAGAAAAATAGAGATTATATTTTTTTCATTTTGTGTTTCTGGCAGCAAGCCAATATCTGCTTTTGATTTGTAATATATACGTAAAGTAAATATATTTAATATACTATAGTATAATCAACTTATAAAAGCCAAATATATGACAACATAGATGATCGATCAAAAAGAGACAGTGCTTGATTTTCGATATTTTCATGATTTTTATAAACTTTTTTGGAATCATTCTAGACAATACTATCCATAAACATTATATAAATCGTAGTTAGTAAAAACAACGTAGAATCTACTTTTCCATCTTGAGCTCCCGGTCTTAAACATTATATAGATCGTACTTAGTAAAAAAACGTAGAATCTACCTTTCCAATCTTAGGCTCCCGTTTTTAAACATTATATAAATCGTACTTAGTAAAAAAAAACGTAGAATCTATCTTTCCATCTTGAGCTCCCGGTCTTAAACATTATATAAATCGTACTTAGTAAAAACAACGTAAAATTTATCTTTCCATCTTGAGCTCCCGGTCTTAAACATTATATAAAGTGTACTTAGTAAAAACAACGTAGAATCTATCTTTCCATCTTGAGCTCCAGGTCTTGTACCCTTGGGACTGCATAATTGATAATACTAACAGTGCCCTCATTGGATATCGAGATCAAGCATTCAATATTAACAATATACACACCAATAAGTTCCGATATGTGTGAATTTAAATCAATGAAATCCGCTAAATTTTGAACAAATTTGCGATAGTGTTTCATAGTCGAAAGTGGGTTTTATCTAATTATTTATTTTCCAGTCTGTTAGAGGTTACCTAAGCTGCTTGTATTGTGTATTGTGTATACCATGTCTGTTTGTTTGTATCCAATAAACGTAAAAAACGGCTGAACTGATCAATCTCAAATTTTTTTTAAGGTCACCCCAGGGAAGATTTATGGGTGCTCAGAGTTACAAAAATTTGTCTCAAAAATCTTAGATTTTGTAAAATTTTGAAATTCCTCGAAAAAATATTATTAAATCCGCAAACTTTTTTGTTATTGTTTTATACTGTACAAAGTGAGATGCTCCCAGATATCTAGATACAGAATCTAGATATATCATATTTTATCTAGATATATCATATTTTATCTAGATATATCATATTTTATCTAGATATATCATATATAGATATATAGCTAGGAATAGAATCAAAGTATTAGATCGAGGCTAAACTTTTAATAGAATTTAAACAATTTAGATTAAACGCTTTGTCTGTTATTGATATTTATAGCGAAAATGTTGATTTTAAATTTTTTCTTTTAAAATCCTTTTCTTATTTTCTCACATATAGAAAGTTATAATTGAACTATATAAAGTTATATCATAGATAGTTACTCATCATCTTTCTAAACAAAATAATGATTTTAGAAGTCACGTAAAATGTTTATTTTTTAATGGAGGCTGTAAATACTTAAATGCGCAAAGTTCAAAAGACAAAAATGACAATTTTTAAATTGAGAATTATAGCAAAACCAAAAAAGGTTTTTTTATTGAAAACTATGTAAAGCTTAAACCAAAGTCGGATTTTCTAAACAACCAGATTAGTTGAACTAAAGTTGAATAAAATTCGATCTTTTTGTTTCAAATTTAATATATATGGCTTCAGGAATGAACTATACGTAGACCAAATTGAACTGCTTCTCTTGAAATTGAACCGGCGCGCTACAAAAGTAGTTAATTTTAGTCTACTTAGTTCAACTACTTCTTACTATTTAAAGATTTCGTCCCATGTAAATCATAAAAAATTCTTATTTTTTTCCCTTCAGGTATATTTCAACAATGTCCTCGTTATTTTTAAAAGCTCTATAAAACATGAATGAAATCTAAAAATATATTTTTGTTTTCCAGAAGAGTTAGTTTCTGGTGGTATTTTTACAAGTTTAAACAATTGGATTCTTTTCTCTGCAAAATAAATATTCTTTCTAATATCTTCTCTGAAACGTTAAATATATATTTGTTTGTCTATCTGTATTCAAAAAACTCCGAACGGCTGAACCGATCGGGACCAAATTTGCTGTGGCATCTCAAATGACCCCAGGGAAGGTTTACGTAGTGGAAGAATTTGGTCCGGAAATAAAATGTCGACATTTATCATTTTTTAAATGCGCCAAATTAAACAAAAATTCCGAGAAAAATTGAGATTATTTAAAAATTGCGGAATTTAAAGCATCAGTCAAAAACTAAAATTGTAATGACATCTTTTTAAAATGGTATAAATTTTTTACTTTTCTTGAAATAAGATCAATTTTGGTCATTTTCCTGTAAGTCTTATTTATAAAAAACATTAACACACCTGTGAACTTCCAATCATGTGACAATATAATGAAGATTTTTAATGATTATCAATCACTCAATAATGTGAAAATTCCTTAAAGGAATATATTAATGGTCTCAACAACAGGATGTCATGATTTTTTGAGATTTACTACAACAAATTCAACTCAATCAAACAGTCAAAGTTTAAAATATGAAAGAAAAAGAAATACCGAAGAAATAATTATGATTTTATTCTTTGTTTATTATTCCAGTTTTTACGATTCTTTGATTTGATCTTTTTCCGTCTGCTGTACACAGATTTGACATATGAGATTTGGCGATTCATATAATGTACTTTACTTGAGATACACCATTAAACTGCAAAAATAGCACTTCGGATAGAAATGGAATAACAATACCATGCATTGGTACTGGCAGTCAATTAATATTTAAAAATTCTAAAAACATTATTCTCACTAATGAATAGAAATCTGTTTAAAAGGAAAGCGCTTGCCGCCATTTTATTTTTCAGATAAAGCTTTAAACGTAAAATTAATTAAAGGTGAAAGTTTCAGTAAAAGTTTCCAAGTTTTGTAACAAATTTGGAAATATATACAATCGATTTCCGATACATTTACAAACCATACGCTCATAGGTTATCAACACAATGCGCAATTTAAAAAATATTTTAAAAATGTACTTTTTCTGTACTCTTTTCCTGTATTCTTTTCCTGTATTCCCATTTCAAGGATTTTGCATCAGTTTTACACTCTTTTCTCAGAAAATAAAAGTTTATTGTGTATTTTCTTTATGTTTTTGCATTTGCTAAAAGCTCAAAAAGATCGCCTCGTAAAAATCATTGAAAAACATCTATCCCATTACATAAACGACATAAACGTTTTTTATATCTTTTAGTAGTAAAAGATCAGATGTTTTCTCGCCCAAGCCCAGGATTGCAAACTGAAGAATTTTTTTTAAATTGCTTATTCTTTTAAAATAAAATCCCTCCAGATCAATTCTTAGTAAACCCCAGGAACTGATATAAACCTCTAACATTTTTTTAACTTCATATATATCCAACCTGATGGTTTAAACTCTTTTATATTTTAAACTTTGATTATTCAAAGCTTAAAATGTATAGACCTGCGACATCAGGTTGCAAAGATTATAGAGATTTCCTTATTTTTCGATTTATTATTATAAACACATCAACTCTATATAGAAGAACAGTATGTCTCACTTAACATGGAATTAAGTGACGACTTTTAAATCGTCTTTGGTTCACGCGACTTTTATTAATAAAGGAATTGAGACTTTGCCAGAAACTCAAATTTTCTCATTCCTATATCTTTGCAACCCAATGTCGTAGACCTTAGATATTTCAAACTTAGACTATTTGACAGAATTCATAGTTTGAAATTTCAAAGTTTTATTACATTATCTTTTAAGATATAGGGATATGAAAAACAGAGTTTGTGGCAAGGATTTAATCACTTTGTGATAAAACTATTGTGTGGATATTGTTGAAGATCTTTAACCCTTGATCCCGATATCCATGCAAAACATTATATAACCAAGAAATACCAAAGCACTGCCGTAGTAAATTTGAATTCGAACAGGACCTGCCCAGTTTGTACTGGTCTGCTAGATAACAGTGTGTACTGATCCGATCCTATGGTACAGTACGTCCCCCTAACCAGACTTACATACGACCGGGGTCAATTTTCTTGGCATAGTCCCGTCGGAGGGCTAACTATGACAACTCCCATGGAGCGATCAGACTTTTTACAGTGCCAGGCCTAATCCTAGGCCTATTTGACCGACCCCACTGGCTTAGTCCACCGTGAAAGAGAACTTAAATTTATCCGTAGATCTGCATAAGATAGAGATCAATGCTTGATCCCGATATTCATGCAAAAACGTTATAACGTTTAAATCTGATCATATCATAAACATAATAATGAAATCCCTATAGTTTCATATTCAAATTTTATCCTTAAATAATTTTTTTTTAAAGAAAGACGATTTTGATATCGTCACTCTCATTTTTATTTGGACACGTCTGTCGCATTTCTGATGTAGACTCACACGTAATTTTTATTGTAAATGTTATATATATATATATTTGTAATTTATATAAACGATTCATTCTTGATAAGATTTGTTTGTTCAGGAGTTATTGGTTGGAACAAATATAAATCTTCACAGTTTAAAATTCTAAACAATGCGGATACAACCTACCACAACATGTCCCCCTTCCCCACCTCCTTCCCCCTGGAGAGGGGACAGGAGGAGTCCAGGATAGGCGAAGGAGAATCTACCGTTGCTCCTGCAGTTGCCAGGAGTTTGAAAAATATTCGTCAAGAATCGACCGAGTCGAGGTCGACATTACAGTCCTGTGTTGTGGACGAACGAGGACGAACCATACTTAAGGTTTAATCCTCGTTTAAGGGGACTGTGTAAACGTAATTTTGAGTGATCAAGTTTACAGATTCTCTCATTCATAACCTTATCCTTCCAACCTTGGTATGATCATGAGTAAATGAGATATCCATGGGTTTAAATTTGAAAATTATTTTCAACTCCGGGGTTTTTATTGTACATTTCTGCTGCAGAAACAATAGAGGAAATTGTCACAATTAAACACATTTTAAGCTGAAGAAACGCCATTATATCTTCCACATTACAGGAATGGGGTTAATGATACCGATGTAAATCAGGCATGACCATATAAGTTGACATAAAAGTACCACAGTCTCTTTAAGATTTTGTTTATATCGCAATTTAGTTTTAAAATTTATCAACTCACAATTGGACCAATTAGAATTAATTTTAAGAAAACAATAACTTAAAAAAAATTTACTTACAGTTTTTTTCTCTAAGCCAGTAATTGAAAATGTAAAAATGTTTATGATTTGTAAATGTGATTTAAAACAGATTTAGAAAAAGCTTTAGTTACAGTGGGACTCATAAAACCGAGGAATAGGAAGACGACCGTAAGTCTCAAATTTTGATGTTTAATTGAAACTTTTCTTAACTGATATTCAAGTAATTCCACCCGTTAGATAATACAATAGCTTGGTGTGACAATGACATTTTGAAAACATTTTACGGGACGATTATTCCAAACGACGCAAGTGGATATTACTTGCGCGCAATTGCGAGCCCAGTAAACTCCTTACAAATCCGCGAAATTTCGCACAATTCGAGAACAGTTGCGCGCAATTCCGGGCAACGGAATTGCGATTGGAAACCCTAGTCCCACTGTACAATATCTAAATATTCAACAAGGTTTGCTTGTCTATAGTAATTTGCTCAAGTATATATTTATATAATATTAAGAGATATTTGCAAAACTACGCTCAACTATATTATTTTGCCTAATAAGCTTGTGGTCTGATTGAGTTTTATTGTTTTCTTGGTTTATCTGATTGATTGATTGATTGATATAAAAGAAGAAGGATGGCCGATCATTTAAAATAATATACTGTGTGTTTTTTCCCCTGATAACCTCACCGAACGAGAGGTTTTTTTTACTTAATATTCATTGTTTTATCTAAAAAATGCAGTTCTTCAAATTTGGCTTCAAACGAACATTTTCGGTCATTTTGTTATGAGCTTCCTAAAACAAACTGTTGTTCATATACAGTGGTAGGCGATAAATCAACACAACGAGGACAACTTTTGATATAAATTTTGATTTCTGTCAACCTGTTAAACAGCATGGATACACATAAACATAAAAGTCAAGAGAAGCTGTCAAAAAAGCTTCTCTATGATTACTTGTAAACTTGTAATTCGAAAAAAGCTTGTCAGCAATCAAAACTTAAATAGAAAAGTCGTCTTCATTGTATTGATATAATCGCTTACCACTGTTTAAATATAAAGATTGGAATAATCCCTGAACTTGATTGAAATATTTCTATTCAGTATTTCAACTTTTTAACATTGTTTTAAAAATGTAAAAAATTTTCGAAATTTATTTGAATTGTTTTTACTCTTCTCATAAACTTACAAGATAAAAATGTTGCTCCGTCATTTATTCGAGAAAACTTTTATTTTTCTACTTTCATCATTTCTAGGAAAAAGAGCAGTTTTCTATTTTACTACAGGGCGTCCCACAAAACATGACAGTTGGTGAATAGTTTTGAATGTCTTCTTCCATATACTGTATTAGATATTAATGACGTTTTGTAGTTTTTTTGAGTTTTAAAACGTTTTTACTCGAATTTTATTTTGAAATCGATTTTATTATGAAATATTTTTTATTTTTCGGTTTGGTATCGCATACCTTTTAAACCATTCACCATCTGTCATGTTTCGTGGAACACCCTGTATTTTCTGTGTGTATGTATGAACACTGCTTTAATGGGATTGTATACGTAATTTTGACACCATTTTATAGGAGTGGCATGTTCAATGCACGACGGTACCAACCTATATCTGATTCATCCTTACTCACAGGTGTAAATAGTGCCTTTGTGAATCGAGCATGACATTATATAAATGGAGAGTCATCTGAAATTATGTCATTATCCCTTTTATTTGAAAGTCTATTAACTTATAAATAATGTAAATTCAAGTAGATAATAATATTTACTGACGCCGCTGGAAAAGCATAAATTCGTTTATAATTGTTAAACTATTGAAAAATAGATCTTAGAATAGATAATATGTTTTGAAAAATAACATAATTATGATTATTTAATTATGATTGTTACTTCTGGTTCTAATTCTATCTGTGTAAAAACTAAACATGTGATAAATGTGCCCATTTCTTCAATTTTTAATAAACATTTTCATGCCAAAATTTAAAACTTGGATCAGTATGTATAAGATATGGTTAGTGTTTTTGATGTTTTAATCGAAAGATTAAACAAAATTATTTTTATTGTTTTCCAGTCAACATTTTCAGATTATTAGAGACACAATTTAATCATTTATTGCAACTTTAGAATATATAAATATAGATTGCAATAATATAAATATAAGGAGAAAAAAGAACTGATAAATCTGTACCTACGTCATTTTTGAATGAGCTGCTAAACATTTGTTTGAAATTTGAATTTGGTGGTAAACTGTACAAACAATTGATAGGAACAGCAATGGGAATACATCCAGCCCCTTCCTATGCAAACATTTTTATGGCTAAGCTTGATGATCAAATTGTGAAACTTGCAAATACATACAAAATAACTGATGAGTGCCCCCTGAAGTCCNCATTTCTTCAATTTTTAATAAACATTTTCATGCCAAAATTTAAAACTTGGATCAGTATGTATAGGATATGGTTAGTGTTTTTGATGTTTTAATCAAAAGATTAAACAAAATGATTTTCATTGTTTTCCAGTCAACATTTACAGATTATTTGAGACACAAAGGAATTGAGTCATTGCCACAAACTCTGATTTTCAAATCTTTATATTTTTGCAACCCAAAGTGGTAGACCTTAGATGTTTCAAACTATGAATTCAGTGAGATCAAAATAATAAAGTTTGAAATATCAAATGTTTACACCATTGCAATGGAAAGATAAAGGGATTAGAAAATTTGATTTTGTGGCAAGGGCTCAATTCCTTAATCATTTATTCCACCTTTAGAATATATAAATGTAGATTGTATCGTGTTTCTATATAACGTAAAAACAAGTCCAGTTTAACACGATTTCTTATTTAATTTTAAATTATTTTCGAAAATATTTTATCAAGGGCGTATACATGGGGCAAGGGGACAGTTCTAAAGGGAATCTGATCTAAAATAATTTGACCTACGTGGACTTTGATTTGTGTGTACTGTACTCAAGTAAGAAAAACTTTGCACACACATTTAAAAACATGAAGGAAAACTTTTTTGTAAAATGAAGATTTTGAAAAAATTATTTCTGAGTCAGAATTTTTAAAAAAACGTACTTGCATAATAACTTGAAACGCAGTGTTGAAACAGATATTAAAAAATTTTAGATCTGAGTCTACACTTTTTAGATCACA